CAACATTTTAGTCATTCCAGATCTGTACGTCAACGCTGGTGGTGTTACAGTGTCCTATTTCGAGTGGTTGAAGAACATTAATCATGTTTCATATGGAAGACTGACCTTCAAATACGAGAAGGACTCCAATCATCACTTGTTCCGTAAGTACGCAATTTGTTATTTATTGCAGAAATTCCTATTTTTTATGCTCAGAATCGGTGCAAGAGTCACTGGAAAGGAAATTTGGCGATAAAATTCCAATTACCCCTTCTTCGGCTTTCACCAAGAGAATCGCTGGTGCTTCTGAAAAGGACATTGTTCATTCGGGACTTAATTTTACAATGGAACGATCTGCTAAGGTAAGTGAACATTTGTATTAATGATTATTTGATTAAAATTCTGTAGGTATAAATTTCATATTTTTTGTTTATCAATTTTCTTTAAAGAAGCTCCATTCATGGGTGTTAGCGTTCTTTATTTTTCAATTTTATGCTGTCGCTATACCGAGCTACCTCGAGACCTTCAGTCTTCTCCTCTTAAAAAATAATGTTGTACGAACAATGTTGGGAGCGATATTTGATCAATTGAATAGTTGGATCTAATTCCTATAAAATATAGCATTTATTGGTATTTAGGGGTCAAATAAATACTATCGAATTAAAATATCAAATTTATTTTTGATTCGATAGTAGATTGATTATTACAGTATACGAAACTGTACTTGATGTACAAAAGTTTTAATTGTTATTTCAGGAGAGTATGTAATTAGGCACTGATATTTTCATGTTAAGAATTTGTATTGAAAATACTTTATCTAAAAGGCCGTCATTTTGAAACGTTTCAGCCAAAAACTCTATTAATGCTAACACGTGTTTTTATATCATATTTCTATCTTTTACAAAACATTTTCCATCAGTGGTCTATGATGTGAACAAGCGAAATGTTTTCTTTTTACAGCTATACTGAATTAATTATTTTTAAAATTTGGTTCAAATTGGTTGAAGTTCTGTGTTGTTCCGGTCTTGTAACATAAACCGCTCTAAAATGATTAAATTATCAACCTTGATCAACAGTTTGTTATAGTCGAATTAATGTTCCCTTGAGTATGAAACGGTTGTATTATGCAGAATCAAATAAAGACTGGGAATTGGATATAATTTATTATGAATATCTATGAGCATTTTTATACTCTAATATCGTGTCATTAAAAATGCATGTGCTATTTTGTCAGCTTTTGAACACAGTTTTGTAGAGTTTTAAACTAACATTCGAACTATAGATTTAAATGTAGCTGAAGATCACTAATTATAACTTTATTTAAATGTTTTTTGTGTATAGTGTGAGTTGTTATTTGTTCATTTAGCATATTTTTTAACCTATTTTCTACAGACTTACGACTATTTTAGGTCTGAGATAGTTACGTTAGAGTAGTAAATCTTAAAAAAAATATTGCAAACAGTTTACAGTTTACAATTGGCACAACAAACTTCTGATTTTAGGCTATGCAGGCGACCGCCCAGATGTATGGTCTCGGATTGGACTTTCGGTCTGCTGCATATATTAATTCAGTACAAAAAATATTCCACACAACCAGCACTGCAGGTTTTGCGTATTAGGGCTAATTTATTACATCATCAATACTCCATCATTTAAAAAAGATCTAGTAGTGATATCTTAATATAAAGTAACAAGGTTAGTTACAGGCGATAATACAATGCGTCATAATTCTAATAACACTGGAATTCAATTTTAAATATTTTTATTATATTCTTACCTAGACAAATATACATAATTTTAGTAACTTAATATTGTTCATTAAAGTTAAACGGAAGCATAGGGAAGCCATTTTTTGTTGATATCACTACCAGGTTAAGTAAGTTATTAAGTAAATTCTTTAAAATTTATATAAAATTAAGGATTTATAGTAATAAAACCACATTTATTCCTTGAAATTTCAAGTACTAGCTATACATCAATTTATTGACGATAAACGTATATTGATGTTTTTTATATTGAGATGCAACAGATTTCTAATACATAAAATGATTATGGATGTGGTTAAATTTTGTAGATAGCAGCATTAGTGTTACAGAAAATTAACTGGAGGTTTGAACTATGTCAACAACAATATGATTCTTTATACTTTTTACAGATGAAACCAGTTAATTTTTATTGCATAAAAACATGACATTATATCAAAAATTACGCATACTATGCGGCCACACTTTTATTAAATTAAATAAACGTTATTCTTCAGAACATTCCCGTTAGTAAACGATGTCGGGTAATTTGCATTTTAGTATTTATTAATAATGTACATATATCCAAATTGTTATATCGTAAAGTTCAATAATCATAATTAAAGTTTAAAATATTTTAATTAAAATACAAATACACAAATATAGGCAACTATATACATCCGATTTTTACTTGTTAGATAGCAAGTAGATAGTTAAGAAATATGCAAGAAAATAGGTTAAATAGATATCTGCTGTCAATCGTTTGCTTTTGTAGCTTTGTTTAATTAACACTAACCACTTCACTAAAATAATGAATGGGAATGAAAATATTTATGTCAAAGCTAATATTACGTATTAAATAGGAACAGAAATCAGTGTTGGTACATATTTTGATTTCTGACCTTAAAACATTAGATTATTCGGAATTGGTACGATTATCGCCAACTATAATGCCCGTCGCTCATGGTCCAACGTCGCAATACGATTTTGTTTGAAATGCTCATGTTTGACCAAGTTGGTTCCATTTGATCTTTCTTATAGTAAATTAAGGTTCCTGTGTATGTCTTTCCAATAATCAATTGTGTGCACCACCAGTTACGTTTTTTTGTCGCTTATTTTCGCTTATGCAAAGCGGAATAGCCGCTAAAGGTAGATTTTGATCCGTTTTATGTATGATTTGGAATTAAAACGTTACTAATACTGCAAAAGCGTTTTGTGTATTCCCATCCAATGTCCGAACCAAAATCGAACTGCAGCGATGGATTGTGAGTAGATGTTACTCAGGGTACCTAAATGTGAGTGAGAAAATTATCGAGAAACCGACCGGCATGACTGACCCCCTTGTGATTGGTTTCTGTCTTCTAACGATAATTTTTAGAGAACAAAAAAATGAATTTCTGTTACATGAACTTCAATTCTGGATCCGCCGCTGCTCAGTATCGGACATTAAATTTTCGTTTTCTGGATAAAAATTACTAGAATTTCCTCACTCATGTTGTTATGACTGAATCGAATTTTCAATTCTCTATCCAACGATGCCAAAACGAATTACGTCGCTCGAATGGGGCTTGAGAAACTTTTGCGATTTTGCATCTCAAACAAAACACGCAAGACAGAAAAACGGTCAAATTCTACCTACTCTACTTAACCCAGAATTATTATAAATTTAACAGTTGTTGTTTTTATTTATTTTTTTATAAATTGTTATTTACTAAAAATGTTGTTACGTTATAAATTGATATTACAAAATAATTTTTCCAGGTTTATAAAATGAAGTGCTTATCTGTTTTAGAAGCATACGAAATATGTTCAGATAAATTACTTTTGTGATTAAACAACTTCCTTAAGTACTATACTTTTAATTTGGGTTTCAAAGAGAAGCAGTAAAACCTTTGGTTAATTTCATACTTTAGATGACTGCTGCACACAAAACACTAGCTGATTTCGCTTTCATTGCTTTACGATTATTTTGCAGGCAATCATAGACACAGCTTCAGTGTATGGGATGGGATTAGATGTGAGATCTGCTGCTTATATTAATTCTGTGCAAAAAATCTTTACCACTACCACTTCGGCAGGCTTAACATTCTGAAAGGGGTATACTGAGTGTTTGTGGCTGTAGTCTCTGTTTAGTTACACCCCTGTATTGTTTGATGGTTTTAAACGATGTGGGAATTTCACATAAGTTTTTCAGCATTTGAATAAATTTATTACAATTATAGTACAGAATAGGCCAAAACCTGGCCAGTCACATACGAATTGGGCTAGTGCAAATAATTTGTTTGGAAAAACCAGGCAATGACCAGGTGGAAAATGTTGTTGAGGTTCCAACTTTACGAAAAAACCTCAAATTAATAAATGATTTAATTTACATGAACATTTGTAAATGTTAATTTTTCAAAAAAACTGCCCCTATTTTCCACGAACAATTGCCTTGATATTTGTATTTCGAAGGTCAAGAAGTGGATTTTAAATAGATTTACGATCATGGTTGTATTCCAGCGTTAATTTGTTAATTTGTTGTTTTTTAACGTGGCTCCTTACTGTAATAACATTTTTTCAACTGTAATAATCTTACATGAAAACAACTTATGTTATGTAAACATAGTCCACTATTAACAGAAATAATAAAGAAATTCGAAAATAATTGAAAATATTGAACAAATCATGATTCAGAGGGTGTTCAGTTTTTCGCAATTTTAAGACCACACATGGGCCATTTTAAAGTAGACATTACAGCAATAAAATGACCACTTATACACTTAATACAAAAAAGATCAAGACAATTAATTTATTGATCTTTTTTTGTATTTCTTCTAGATCTTGTTCGTGCAAGATAAGAGTAATTTTTTCGAAAAATGTAGATAACTCGAAAACTTGTCGCCTTCTGAACTGCAAAAAATAATTCTTATTGAGCACCAAAAGACGTATTTTTACAACTTTTCAAAAAGTGTGAACGTTTTCCGCCAGCAGGTCACGTTTCGGCGCAAATAGCAAAAAACCGTTTTCAACCCCTAGCTGCATCACCATTTCATTATTTCCAGAGTTTTTCCGATAATTTTTTTTCTAAGTTGGAACCTCAACATTTTCCACCCTGTTATAATATATTTTTTTTACTATATGAAAATATGTATCGGCACTAGCCTAAAGTGTAGTGATATGTCCTAAAGTGATACTTAATGCTCCTTAAGTACTTTAACTTGCAATCGGAAAATCGACAGACGGAATTTACCGCGAAACAGTGAAGATTTCCGTTATTAACTTTTACTGAGTGAACATTGACCATTGTGAGAACATAATAATATTGGTGATTGATACAGCAAATATCTATTTGCAGGCCATCACGAAGACGGCACAGCAGTACAATTTGGGTATTGACCTCCGATCCGCTGCCTACATCAATTCAGTAGAGAAAATCTTCATTACTACCACCACCGCTGGTCTAACATTCTAATTTATAGAATGTCATCTATATCTATCTCTAATTACTAACCATAAGATTGTATTGCAATTCAATGTAACAGTAGGAATAATGTCCCTTTGAACAACCTTCACATTTTTGCTTCAACTCTTGAACAATCACTTAAATCACATATCACAGCCAATGTATGGAATAAATTTCATATTCATTCTAAAATCATTAAAAATCCAGAAACGAAAAGGATAATTTGTTTTCCGTTTCCCTACATTCTGCTATAAAATAATACTGGGATACGAAAACCTGTTAATAACAAGACAGTATCAATTTCAATACAATTTTTAACTAATAAAACGTTCAAATACGTGAAAATATTAACTATATGGGATAAAGAAAACTGATGTGAGACAGTGAGAAATAAGTAAGACGATTTGAATTAACTTTATAATCTATGCGATTTTGGCTTTTGGGGATTTGGAGTTTCAATAATACTTCAAGCATCTGATAATTCCCTTTAATTGTGATTTTAATTGAAGCACTAGTAAAACATCACAATTAAAAGGAATTATCAGATTGAAATATTATTGAAACTTAAGCCGAAATCGCAATCATAAACTGAATTCAAATCTCCCGCTAAATTTTGATGTGAACTCAATCGGTATCTATGAATAGCAGTTTTTTAGAAAACAGTTTTTTTAGCTCGTTTAGTAGAAAAAGATCAGCTTCGTTCTCAAGCCAATGTGGTAGAAGATGTGCCAACCTCAGATTAAGCAGATGCATTTGTTTACGTTTTTCCATGGAAGCAACATTGGCTCACGGTCTATATAAAAGTAGGTACTTACGATTTCAATATTCAATTTGATATATATGAGTGGCATCAACAAGAAAATAGCAGGAAAACGGTAGCCATGAATATATTTAGTGTTATATTTGTTTAGTTTGTGATAAGCGACAAGCAAATCTCATTAAAATAACAGCGTCGAAATTTTATATTAAAAAAATCATATCAATTTTTAGTGGTAATTACCAGGAAACATTGATCATGACAACACCGCAAAGGGGGAGTACGTGATTGTGACATGATAGTAAGAGGGGAATACGATTTGTTGGACAAGTAAATACGGCAATTTCTCGCGTTTTTGGTGATAATCGTGATAATAATAAACTGTTACGCTTAAAAGAAATTTTGCGAAGTGGTTTCATTTGCAGGTAAATCGGCCTAAATTTTCCTAACCTGTACTGTTTTGCACGATTGTAAACAGGGACCAGTGGCGTGAGTTGTTTTGAATTTATAAGCTTAGAGATAGATTTATCTACCCTATTATCCCTATTGAATATCTATCAAATGCTTAAAAAATTTGCGTTACTATTATAGCGTTTATAATTTCAATCATATAATGTAGAGAAAAATGTCAGATAATGAGTGAATCTTTCATGCGTAGAATAAATCGATTAATACTGATGTTTACTACGCCTATAGGCAGCACAGATGAAGACAACTGACTAGCAGCGTGCTAGCAGCCAGGCCAGTTGATTTTCCGATTAATTCTACTTTGCACCGAGCAAAAAACCTACTTTATCCCTACCACCGGTTTTTCCATGATACAATGAATATAAGGTAGGATATTAATCGGTGGAAAACTCGATTTTCCTGCGCACATGACGTCACTGGTTACCACTTTGGTAAAGTGAACAGCGGATCCCATTTAAAATGCATGTAACCTGGACAGATTTTCACTGGATTCAAAACGCAATAGTTCAAAAATGGAAAGTTATATGAGGATATGGTTTGCAGCCTTGTATAGCTAAATGCTTTGAAAATCGCTCTTGGGACCTGATTTGGGCTTATTGGAAGAAAAGTACCCTAAATAATTCTTTGCAAAATCTCTGATTTTCAGCGTTTTAGCGTGCTGTGTTGCCAGAGTGTCATTTGCGAAATCGGGTTGAGCCAAACGAAATAATGAATTAATTGTATCACAATGAATGAATGCACTGTTCATACAATGAATTGATTGTATCAGACAACGGATTCATTGTCGTACAATGAATTCATTGGCGTATGATTCATTCATTGTATCATGGGGTCAATGCGTTTGGGCATGTTTGGGATTTTCGTAGACAAAACTGAGCATTTTGCGTTTGGTAGTTGGAAAGTGTAAGTGTGATTGTTTGCTACTTTTAAGTCTCGGTTCAGAAATATAAAAAATGCGATGTGCAGTCATTTCATTTGTATTAAAACTTACATATCATCCGCGGCACCACAAACCGCATATTCCGTCGTAAATAATAGGAAAGTAACATTGGGTCATTGTTTGGACTTCCGTCTCTTGAATTGTAATGTACTATTTCTGCAAGGATACATTTTCAGCTAACGCTATACTTTATTGCACAACTGGCAACTGTGGTAGTCTACAAAATAAATACATTTTCGTTACTTTTAATTTTCAAGTCTAAAATCTGCTGCAACCCATCGTGTAATTATAAGGAAGATTTATAAAAAATAATTAAATGTGACAAAGACTAAATAAGCTATATTTAATCACATTTAGCAGACAGGAAAAAGCACGCCCAGCAGTGATTTCTACTGACGTCACGCAAATCGACGCAAGATCCTACCATGTATTCATTGTATCATGCGGTTTTTCATTGATAAATCGGCGATCGATAGAATTTAATGTTGGTCCCAACCAAATCGGGATTTATGAATGACTAGCTTGGTCTATTTATTAATGTCTTTGGTGCCAACTTATGCGGGAATAAGATCAAAAAAAGGAGTAATTAAAAAAGTGAGAAGCAGATACAAGCTGAGTCAGCAGGCCAAGTTGCACAACGAGGCGATAAAAAAGAAGAAAAATATGAAATGAAATTGTCCGAATTATGAATAGTGGCTTAACCATAAGTAGTTGGTGTCATTTTTGAAATTGTATATTTGACTGTCTCTCTTTACCTCTCTCTCGAGTGTCATCCTTGCTAGTCACCATCAGAGAGGAAGAAGAATTGTATTTGGAGGTTGTGAGCAATGTTGATTTTACAGTATGCTATACGTCAATAATTGTTTTAACCACAGATTATCAAACTATTTATTGATTGTAACACATGTTTTAAGCTGTTTCATACCGTGTATCTCTGCCGTGAAACCGTTTTTTGTCGAAAATGGCAAAATATGCAAGTGATCATAGTAAGTTAGTTAATAATATTTCTTGCAGCGGTTGTACAACTCTGTATGTTTTAGAAGATTCGAACCAGAGTCACATGAAGAGGTTTAAAGGTCCTAAAAAAGGAAAGCCTTTCTGGGACCGCAAAAAATCTAAGAACACTCTCAAAGAAAAACGAGCCCGTTTAGTGATAAAAAACTTGCCATTTAAAGCAACGGAATCGAATATTCGAGAACACTTTGGGCAACATGGGGAGGTCGTAGGAGTTGATATATTAAAAAGACCTGATGGTAAATTAGTTGGTTGTGCGTTCGTCCAATTCAGTCTAGTCCAGTTTGCAAAAAAGGCTCAACATCATACCCACAATCATCCGTTTCTGGGCCGGAATATTACCGTTGACTTTGCACAGGCTAAAGACAAGTATGTGAAAGAAACAACATATAAAAAGCTGGAAGTAAAGACGGAACCAGACGAAGATGTTAAAATGGAAGCCAGTGACACCATTGAAATCAAAGATGAAGAGCTCTCAGACCCGGTTTCTTCGTCAGAAGAAAATGATTCAGATGCGTCAGAAGAGGACGAATCTGAGCAGATTCTCGAAACTCCATCACGACTAAAACCTTTTGAATCCCATGATGTCAATGAAGGCAAAACGATATTTATAAAAAATGTTCCATTCCATGCAACCAACGAGGACCTGAAAGAATGCATGTTGCAATTTGGACATCTGTATTATGCCCTTATTTGTGTAGACAAACCGACGGAACACTCTAAAGGAACTGCTTTTGTAAAATTCACGAACAAAGAAGATGCAGATAAAGCATTGGCCGCTGGAACCGAACTAACTTTATTGGGCAATATTTTGGATTGTCATCCGGCAATAGATCGCAATGAGTTAAGGCAAAAGCAGAATCAGCAAAATAAGCAGAAAAGTACCCCACATGATTCCAGGCACTTGTATTTGGTCAAGGAAGGAGGTAAGAATCACATCATGTACAATTACAATATGTAAACTACGCTTCTACAATCTATTTCTTTATTCAAAATGAGGAATTGAACAGCTTTTACTTCAGTTTACAAGTTCAAAATTAGTAGCTTTATCGAGCTTTATAAGCTTCACCAATTAGTCCTCGTTTTCGCGTCCGGCAGATAAAAATGCTAAAATTATTTTGAAGTGTGCAGGATGTTTCATTTCTTCGAATAACACGCAAGCATTTTCTCTTCATTCCTGAATTCTGCAATAAATTTGAAATAATTTTATATCCCATTATCGACCATGTCCTCCTATAGTTGATTGGACAGTTGCATTTGCTTGCACAAAGTGTATTTTGTAAAGGGAATTTTGAAAACTAATTTCTCAGAAACTCGTCTGCTGTTAGAGGAAGAAAAATGGGCTTTCTTATTCTAAAGTTTCATTAGCTGCTTATGTATGTTCAACATATTACACCCCTCCAGTAACTTTCTGCATTCCGCAGCATATTTCGGGGCAAACCGGTCACGGAAGCACTCATTTTTTACTGCGCCAAGGCTTTTTCTTTACAGATCGTCCAAAATA